CGTGCGCTGCGCTCCGCCGCGCCCCCGGGCGGCTCCGAGCGGGAGGCGGCGCTCCTCGGGCCGCTACCCCCTAGGCCAGCTCGGCCGCTGCCCGGCCCCCGACTCCGAGGCTCCGAGGCTCTGTTTTGCACTTTTCATTCAATCCCACCCCCCGTCACTTCCTTCAGAAAACAGAAACCACCCGGACCTGCCTTAAAGGGGCAGCGTACCTCTCGGCCCTTAAAGGGCCAGCTGCGCCCCGCTCGGGCGGCGGCGGAGGTGGCCAGCGCGCGCGGGCCCAGGGCTTCCCGGAAAGCGGTTTTGCGGAAACTGTGCTTTCTCACCCGACTCCCTCCATCCAGGCCGCGCCCAGGCCGGCCGCTGTGTCAGGAGTTTGGGCAAATCCTGTCCTCCCAGCAGGGGCGGGACGAGAGACTCTCCACCCCGCTTCCCGCCCCCCAGCCCCCACCTCTTTTGGCTTGTTCTTGTGCCACGTGGATGAAGTAATCGGCCTCAGTTTTTTAAGGGATTTGGTTTGGTCTCTGAGTTTCCCTGAGACAGCTAATTTCTAAAAAGCTCCTGCAAAAACAGACCTCCCCCAGGCCCGCTACCATTTGCATTGTCTTCCGCCGAGGGAGAGCGCAGCTGGGGCGCTAGCCCTGCATGGACACTGCTCAGTGGGAGATCTTGATACTTGAGGCCACTTCTCTGGACGCAGCCTGGGAAGCCCCCACATGTTGGGAGACCTTGTGGTCTCTTGGCCTTTGTATCCAGGCTTCCTCGGTGCCTCTGTGTCCCTCAGCCTTTCCCTCCTCTCCAACCGCCTTGCCACCCAGTGGTTTCAGTAGACGGTGCACATGTAGGCGAATATTAGTTCCCAGGCCACACACGGGAGATGCCCTGGTGGTGTAGTGGTTATTGCTCGTTGAGCTGTGATTCGCATGACCTGCAGTTTGAAACTCCGGGCAGTTCGGCACTGGGGGAAAGACTGGCCTCTCTACTGTAAAGAGTTATGGTCCCAGAAACCCACAGGGGTGTCTATGAGTCAGCATTGGCTGGAGGGCAGCGCCTTGGTGAGGGGTCACACAGGAGACGCTGGCACTCCAACTTCACGGAAGGAAGAAGTGCCACCATCAGGCTCTTCACCCCCCACTCCCAAGAAAACTTGTCACCCTGCCAAGGACCCCAACAATCAGCTGGGTGCTCTGGGCAAGTTTTTAAAGTATTTGGGGATAGGTATTCCCATGAAGGCTGCTGGGACACACTGTGGTGCCAGTCCCCTGGAAGAACATACCCCTGGGGACTCTCTGCCCTGGTTCGCTCCTAACCTTATCACTTCCATTTCTCCTAGGGCCCCTGTTCTTCGGCAAATCTTGATCCCAGAATCGTGAACACTGTCCTCTAATGTAGAACCCCCTTCCCTTCTGGGTTATTAACGGGCACAAAGGTGAGAACTGGTACCTATCAATCAATGACAGAGCCAGATGCTTGTAATTTCTGGGGCAGGCCGGGGCACTCTGACCGCACCCCGCTGCCTACATTCTGGACGGAATCGGGTTTAAGAAACTGTCTAATCCGGTGTTTCCCAGCTTTGCTTTACCAAGCGAATCCCCGCATGCCCGTTGACAAACCAGACGCGTGGGTTCGTGAATCTTTCGACTCAGGCTCTCCAGGGAAGAGTAGCACTAACATTTTTAACAAGGTCACCAGTGACACCTGTTGTCAGCAGTGGCTTGTGAGTTCTTACAGAGGGCTGAACATAGAGGAGCCACAGAAACACAACAGAAAACAGTCTTTTGAAGACAGAAGTTCAAATCTCACTGCCTTATGGAAGATCTATCTCTGGCCTCATTCCTTCCCTTTTGGTCCTACCTGACCAGCTCTTCCAGACCCGGGGCAAAACTCCCATTTCCCAGAAAGTCTTTCTCAGCTAACTGCCCATAGCTCTCCTCCACCTCCAGACGCTGATAGTAATTATCATGAGAGCAGCTGCCATTCATTGGATTCTTATGATGTCCAGGTTGTGTGCCAAACATTTTACACATATCATCTTTTTAAATCTTTATGGCAACCCTTCAAAGGTACGTCCTATTCTTATCCTCATTTTATTGCCTGGGAATCCAAGGTTTAGAGAGGTCAAGTAACGTGCCCACGGTCACGAAAGGTCACTGACTTAGTTGGGATGCATCACAGGTCGGCCTGACCACAAAGCCCTTGCCTTAAAAAAATGCATGCATATGTTTTAGACATTCATATATATACTTGTGTATTTATTGTGGTAAAATGTTTGCCTGTTTAACTATCTTTAAAGGTGCGTTTCTCTGTCATCGACAGCATTCACCATGTTGTACCACCATCCATTTCCAAAAGTGTTCACAATAACCATTAATAAGCTTTTATCTCTCTATTTGCCTCTTCTAGCCATGCCAGATAGGTAGGGTCACACAACAGTTGTCTGTTGGTCTGACTTACTTCGCTCGACATAATGCCGTCATGGTTCATCTACAATTGTAGCATGCATCAGAACATCTTTGCTTTTTAACCACAGGAGTAATCTCTTTGCCTATCTCTAACCGTTACTTTCGTCCAGCCTCGTGTGGACACACTTCCTGTGCTCCTTTTTTTCTTTCTCCCTGTTATCTAATTAAGAGGGTTTTGTGTGTGTGGTAGTCTTGCACGCCCAGTGAGGCTGTCAGTTAGTTCAAACAGACCAGTCCCGTGCTGGGAACAGAAAGTGCTTCCCTTAAAACATCCAGGCACAGAAGGTCCATTCATCTGACATGGAAAGACCCTGAAAGGAAGGGCTCTCACAAGTCTAATTACCCTGACGACCAGCGAGCAGCTCTCACTGTCAGGAAGCTCTTCCCGTCTCATCCACAGCCCTCTGCCACACCAGAAACCAGTTTCCTCCCCGCTCTCATCGCCAGGAATGCCGTTTTCAGTGGTGGTTTGGAGCAAGGGCACCTGGACCTGGATCCCCGAGCTCAACTGCGTGGAAGCTATGTGACTCAGTCAACCTGCTTCCTCATCTGTAAAATGGGCGTGGCATTGCTTACCTCACTGGACTGTTTGGGGAGTTAAATAAAACATTCATCAAACACTTAGCAAGTGCTTGGCTCCATAGTAGAGGCCCTGTGAATGGTAGATAGATAGCTGGCCTTGACTCTGGTTCATGGTGAGCTTACAGACAACAGAACACAATGTTGCCTGGTCCTGTGCCAGCCTCGAGACTGCAGCTATGTTTTAGTCAGTCGTTAGAGTGCGTGTGCACGTGCAAGCATCTCAGAGAGGGTCTCCATTGCCCTCAGTGGGCCCACAAGATTGCCTCTACTTCACCAAATATGTCCTCCTTCGGTAATTGATCCCTTCTGGTGTCATATCCAAGGAGCCCTGGTGGTGCTCACAATAGGTAAGCATTGAACTGCTAACCTCAAAGTCAGTGGTTCAAACCTATCAGCCACTTCTCAGGGCAAAGATGAGTCTCCCATAAATATTCACAGCCTTGGAAACCCTACACAGGGGAGTTGGGATTGGCTCAAGCCAAAGGGGTTTGGCTTGGTTTGGATATGCCATGTCCAACGCAAGTGAATTTGATGATGCTCGGTTTTCATTGATTCATTTTTATAAGTAGATTCCCGGGCTTTTCTTCCTAGCTTGTCTTAGTCTGGAAGCTGTGCTGGAACCTGCTCATCACGAGTCCCCTTGCTGGCGTAGCTTAGCTGGTGGCATAGCTCCCAGCACCATGCCAGCTCCCTAGGGATGAAAACTGAAAGAAGGATGGTGGTGGCCAGTGTGGGACTCCCCAAGGAAGGAAGGTAAGCATGGGCTGATCTGTGCTTCCTTAATCATCTATAGTGAACTTTCTCAGTTTTTCACATGAAAGATTCTCCTTCGAGGTATGACTGGCCTCTATCTCTCTCTCTCCCAGCCCCACAGCAGCTTCCTACAAAATTGACAGTCCCTGACAGGGATGGAGTACACAGTAAGCAAGGGAAGCACGGGTTTCCTTGTGCTTTCTTACTAATCTGTAGTGAACAGTTTTCCATCTTTCTCCCCACGATTGTTTGCTATGGATTAGCAGGAACAAATTAGGATGTAAGCACAAGCAAATGCGTGCTTCCCTTGCTTACTATGTAATCCAACACTGGTGGTGGCACACAGCACAGCTCTCATGAATTACAGTGGTTATTTAATATTTGTGTTATTTGCCCTGGTGGTGTAGTGGGTTACATGTTGGGCTACTAGCTGCTAGGTCAGCAGTTTGAAACCACCAGTCACTCCATGGGGAAAATATGAGGCTTTCTACTCCCGTGAAGCGTTATAGCCTTGGAAACCCACAGGGGCAGTTCTACTTGGTTCTGCAAGGTCACTATGAGTGGTCATCACCTCAATGGCAGTGTGTTATTCTGGGTAGACTAGTGAAACAGATCTAGGGAGACACTCATGTGTATAAGAAAGATCTTTATATAAAGAGTAATTGTATGTTAAGAAAACATCCCAGCCCAGTCCAGATCAAGTCCATAAGTTCAATATTCGCTCATGTGTCCGATACCAGTCTGTAAATTCTTCTTCAGACTCACACAACACATGCAATGACGCTGAGTGCAGGAAGATCACAGGCCAGTGGGTGGAAAGTCTTGTGGATCCAGTGGCGGTAGGTCTCCATGTGGGTCCTCCAGCTCCAAGGCTCTGGCTCCACCACCATAGCTCCATGTGTCTTCAGCGGGAAGACTAAGCAAAGAGAGAGTGTGTCCCGCCTCCAGGGAAGAAGAGAGGACTTTCCAGAATCCTCAGGAGAAGGCCATGCCCATACAGGGTCCTGATTGGCTATGGCCTGATTGACAGGCTAAACTCCACCCCTTCGCAAGTTGACAGAAGATTGCGTAACTGCCACAGGCAGTGAGCGAGATCACATAAGAAACATCTGTTTGACCTTCACGTGCCCTTCCCTCCCTGCTCCCGTCCACAACACACCTTATTCGGGACCATTTCTCTCTTTCTCCTCTTTAGCAATTCCACTTTTACACTTCTTGAGACCTCCACCACTGGAACGTGCACAGCAAAAATGCAGCCTCAGTGAGCCTCCCTTGGGCATGGGGAGAAGTGCCGTGCTCTCTCCCAATATGACCCAGAAAGCCAGGGAGCAGTGTCTTCTCTGGAAGACCAAAAGGGAACCCAAAGCAAGAGCCTGTCACCTGCAGATGGAGGAGCACAGCAGGGAGCTTCACACTGGCTTGGTTTGGGTTACAGGACCAGGACCCCCAGACCGAACCAGCTGCTGTTGAGTCCGTTCTGATCCTGGTGGGCCACAGAAGAACAAGGCTCCACACGGTTTTCAGTGGCTGGTTTGTTGGAAGTACATCACCAGGCCTTTCTGACGAGGCACCTCTGGGTGGATTTGAACTGCCAACTTGTTGGTTACATCATCAAAAAAACCAAAAGCAAATTCAGGGCCATCCAGTCGATGCTGACCCTTAGTGACCCTATAGGACAGGGTAGAACGGCCCCTGTGGGTTTCTGAGACTGAAAATCTTTATGGAAGTAGAGCACCTCATCTTTCTCCCCCAGAGCCGCTGGTGGCTTTGAGCTGTTGACCTTGTGTGCTTAACAACCCAATGCGTAACCCACGGCAACAGCAGAGCTTCTTACAGAGGTGATTCCTGCTTCCAGTCTGAGGGAGACCTGGGTAGGCAGTGTGGCTCCGCTCCCCTGCCTCTCTGGGGCAGTTGCAAAGTTCCAGATGCCTCACCGCCCACGCAGAAGTGGGCATTCAGTTCCCACATCACATCATCATGCAGTTACCAGAGGGACAGGTGTGTGGGGAAGTAGACTGAAGAAGCAGTGGCCAAGATAGAGTGGGAATGAGAGAGAAGCTGGGATGATTGGGCTACAACCTCTCCATCTTGGTCAAAAGCCAGGTGGAGGGGACGTTTCGATGGAGTTGGACTTTCAAAAAGGAAGAAGAAGCCTGAGTGATCAGAAATATCAGCAAGATAAAGCTCAGCTGATTGATTCCAGGCCCATGACTCTTAGAGATCCTGAACACAGCCATCTCCTCCACCACGAAGCCCTCCTTTCCCTTCACCTGGACATACATGCGTTCCCTTACCCATTCGGTCCTCTAGCCCAAGCATGAGGGTCTGCACTAGGTGTGGTGGGCACAACAGTGGACAAGACCTTGCTGTGGAACCTACAGCTGGGAGGAAGGATACAAATATTTGCACAAAGTCATATTCAAATCTCACATGGCAGAGCCAGTGCCACGGAGAACTGGAGGAGATTCCAGCACAGATCTGGGCTGGTGGAGGCTGCCCTGGACAGCCACGTAGAGGTTAGCTTAAAGGACGAATCAAACGGGCCTGCTAAGTGGATGATCCAGACGAATGGAACAGATTGTGCAGAGAACTTGAGTCCAGTGAGCTTCCCAGAAGCTTCATCACAGTGGCCAAGGCCTCCGTCCTGCTTTTGCAACGTTACAAAGCTCTTTTAAGGCTGCCAATAAATGCCCACAGGGCATGCTCTTCCAGTGTAAGCCTCAGTTTAAAGACACCCAGCTCTACCTCAGAGGCAGCAAACCCAGCTCCCCCATTCCAACCTATTGCCTGAAGGCACTTGCTCTGTGGCCTGGGAAGCCCAGTGCTTGGTTTCATGCTTGGGCTCTTGGTTCTACCAACGTGCCCAAAGGGCATAGAACTTGACTGTAAGCTTTAGGCTGAAGCAGCTCAGTCCTAGCTCTGTGGGTTAGCAAACCTAGGACCCCCAGTTAAGTGCCTGGAGGTACTCACTCCACAAAGCAGCCTTCTCCTGTCCCAAGGCACTCAGTTTCGCTTGTCCTGTGGGTTGGGAAGTCTACTGCTCTGTCTCACGCTCTGCATCTTGGCTCTACTATTGCTAATCCTCTGATTTAAATGCACAGGGATCTTGGGGTCCACTGCATGTGCTCCACAACTGGCTCTTCTCTTTTGCTGGTAGTGAGTTCCCGTATACCTGCTTCTGAGAGGGCTCATTTCATCCCCAGCAGGATGGCCATCACAGTTAACCCTGTTCACCATCACTCACAACTGAAGCCTACCAGTGTCTTTCCTTCTCATACCCAGCCCAACACACAGAGACTATGGCTAGAAGAGCCATATTAAACAAGTCACTGTGCCGCAACTACTAACCTAAGTCCCAGGGCTTTTAGCCCCTCCAGTGCTGCTGCTAATGAACACAGCCAAGAGAACCTCACAAAGAGATTCTGCTCCGTGACATCCAGGGTCCGCATGAGTCAGAAGCCCCACTTAAGAGCCATGACTTGGTGTTTGGTTTATGTAGGGGGCCTGTCATGTCAGAATGGTTTTGTTGTTTATTTTGTTTTTGAGGAGTCTTGAAAATGTTTATTCATCTGATGGAAATAAAGCAAGAGATGGGACATGCTTATGCAAATATTTTCATCACACCATTATTTGTATCTTTTTATATAACTAACGGCATTTATTAAAGACGTAGTTGAAAC